TTGGTCCAGGTAAATCTATTTTTTATAGAAAAAAGAAAATAATTTCATGCCCTTGTCGACTTGACCAGGAAAACGAAGTTATCCTAAAACTACAGGATATTTCTTAATTGAATGAAATTTCAATGGGGGGTGGTGTGGATTGATAGAAATACAGTTATGGGGCTACGCTTATTCTTAAAAGCAGAGGTTGAAACTATCCATTTTGAAATCATTATTCGAATAGAAATCGATTTTGAATCAAAACGAAGCCAGGATTCTCGCGAACCAACCGTTCTTGACCAAACCAAAACCTCATTCCTTTAGGTCAAAAAGCTATTTTGATTTTGAATTTGTAAATGGTTTTTGAATCAAGAATTTTATACATTTTTTATTTGAGGTGAATTCGAAGAAATTGTTCGAATTGTGTAATCGTCAATTATTGACACCGGTAACCGACCTAGAGCAATTTGATTCTAATTCAATTCGTGACGATCATAAGTAGAAAGTTCATATTCTTCAGTCATCGATAAACAATTTGTTGGAAAAGTCATTCAATCTACGGTTCTCACTAAGAGTCATGGGGTAGCGACGACTGCTGGGGTTCACTGAGCTTCTTGGCCGATTCTGGAAAAGCCTGGTCCATCCTCGTCTCTAGAAAAAACTGCATTGTGTAACTAGGCTGCTTCGGGAGGTAGCGAGGTCGTGCTGCTTGGAGAGTAGCCCGTCAAAAGGTCTTTCTTCTGTGCAACAATCAAACCTTGTTCTGAGACCTCCTACTCGCTCCTGATGAGGAAGCCTAAAGTTTAGTAGTTCCTGTGCGCACCCAAGCAAGTCTTTCGAACCTTCCCGCGGATGCAATTCATAGTCTGGTACCCACCTATTGTAGGTCTTGGCTTTTAGAGATGCCTCACTGACGCTGAGTGATATCTCAAAATGTATTCACTTGTACATTCAGGGTCCCACGCCATAGTATGACCTTTTGACAACATGAGGAGCGAAAGCAGCTTTATGACAGTCCCATGTCATATTTTCTTAGGCCTCTGGTCCCACCTCTCTTCCCCGTAGCTTCTTATGCACTGCTTCCCAGGGCAGACTTATTAGTTCTTTCCTCTGAGTCATAGTTAACCCTTTGGCTTTTTGTGTAGATTGACCGGGAAAAGGCCTCCACAACCTTTGGATGCTTTCCCGGCCTAGCTTGCCACTACTCCTGGAATTGTAACATCTGGAGATGGAAGACTTCTTCTCAAAACAACCTGAAAGCGGGAACTCCCATCATCAAGGGATTTGGCTCATTCAATGCCTGCAAGAAAGGCAAACTCAAAGCATTAGGTCTAGCCTTTTCTTTATAGCTCCATACCGAAAGGTAGTCCGCCAGGAATGACTCGACCGAGTTGGAGAGGGAGGAGAATGGATGAGTCAGTAAAGGAAGAGAATGAGAGGACCGGTAAAGCAAGATAGAAGCTAGCAGCATTTAAACCACAAAAGCGATTCACTTGGTTTGGTTCCAACAGCAGATCCAAATCGGGGAGCAGAGCCAATCACAGATTTGGATCTCGTCCCCGCATTGAAACTGCCCTTGATGACCCAAAACGACCGGGTTGTAGTTGAACCATAAATAGAATCCCTCTCTAAGACTGGCTTGTAGCCTACTGAATTGAATTTCTTTATTCTCCTGCTGCTGCGGGAACTATCTTCTCTAGGGGTCTGACGATCTTTCTTTCGCCTTGGGAGCTTCACTTCCTTCCTTTCCTTTACATGAGTGAATCAATGCCGTAAGTATCCAAGCAAATCTCAATTAAACTCACTCATCAAGTAGTGGCTCGACAAGCCTTGTTCCCGAGCCCGGACTGAAAGCTTACATCGAGTAAAACGGAAAGTGATAGCGCTTACTGAAAGTACTGATTCTAGCCAAGATTGCATGTTAATTCAGATAGCGAGAGGAAGAGAAGCACAAGCAGTACCACCTAGCCGCCTCCTACCCCGTTCAATAGAATGAATTTCACTCGTGAAGGGAAGAAGGCTCATTCATAGCATTCACTCGTTGGGTTCTTTCCGGAACTCGTCCATTCACCTGAACTTGCTCTTTGATTCCTTGATGGATGAAGGAAAGACTTCATTGATTGCAACATGGCATTCCCCGGACTACCTTTACCGGAAGACGTGTACTTAACTGAAGTAATAGCAGTGGAACTCATTACCTCATTACCTCATTACCTCTTTTCCTCTTTTCCTCTTTTCCTCTTTTGCTTGCTCTCGAACTTTCAACGGCGGGTAAGAGCTTACGAACTCATGCTTTTCTAGTTAGGACTGGGAGATGAAAGAGAAATCAATGACAGCAGGTAGGAGGGGATTCGTCTGGCGAAGGAAAGACAATTGACCCGCTTCTAAATCGAATGTAATCTCTAAAGTTCGGTTGATTTGCCGTCGTATAGAAAGGAGTAAGCAACTTCAAGCCGTCTTCTTCTGAGAATGGTTGCTCTTCTCACTTGTCTTCTTGGCTTGCCCTTTCTTTGAACTAGCTTCCGGTCAACACTACTTCTTTTTCAGGAATGAACTGCCCTGCCTAGTCCAGTACTAATCCAAATATGTCTCTCTCCCATCAATCGGTACTAGTTGAAGTAATGAAAATTCTCCCCTATTTCTTTGATGAGAAATGCGAAAGGAAAAAAAAGGATCCCCCGTCGGGACTGACGGGGCTCGAACCCGCAGCTTCCGCCTTGACAGGGCGGTGCTCTGACCGATTGAACTACAATCCCAGGAAAATGAGGTGTACAGCCTCAAAATTCTTCTTTTTTCTCTGAATTTGAACCATTTAGTTTCGCCGTCTTGTAACAGAGACAGAAATGATATACTAGAATATATATTTATAAATGCAGTAGACTCATAGTGGGCTAATTCATGAATTGAATCATGACTATATAAGCTATTCTGATATTCAAAGATTCTATATAGATGAAATCGTGGAAGCAGACCTTTGATTTCCTTGGACCACGCAAGAATTCGTCGTCCGATTTCATCTGCTTGTTCCTCGATGCTCTATAGAAATCTATCGCTATTCCTTTCCTCGACCGAGAAAGCTTCATGGAGAATCACAAGAGCAATCTCTTTTTTGTTTTCGTTATGGTAATGCAATGCAAGAGGTCGGAAATCAGGGTGGATGGAATTCAGCTTGTTCAAATTGCTCGTTTCCGCATTAATAGATAGAAAGAAAAGCGAGAGGGTGACGTATTTCCCAATACCAAAGAAGGGCTTTTACCGGTCCTATTTCCTCCTATTTCCGTGTTGGATTTTCTTCTATTTTATGGAGTGGATTTGGGTTTCTTATTCCGTGCCCTTTCCCTTTTTGACTTTTATTATAGAGCTTTGAAAGAGATAAGATAGGACGACAAAGGCTGGGTAAGAAATACATCCTATCTTCGACTCTGCCTTCTAAGAGAAGGATGGGAATTCCGGTCTTTCTTTCTCTTAGCTTCCCTCTCCTGGTGAGTTGCTGTCTCCCTCTATTACTCTCTTTGAGGGGGAGGCGTTCTTGCTCTGCGCATTCCCTTATCGCCTTCTTTCTTCCCATCTTCCCATCTAATGTTTACCCTATTCATATTCATATAGATCATATTGATAGGTCAATCACATCGTATCGTATAACTTGCCTTATCTACAACATAGACTATTTATGCGAAAGGAAATGGTAACCATACTGAGAGACCATTCTGAGGATGTCCCCCTGCAGTCTAAGAATGAGAGCATGAATTAAAGGAAAGTCAAGATGGATTTCCATAAGCTTTATGTGTTCTCATCTATAGATGTCTAGTCTATTGGGATAAGGGTCTTGCATTAAAGCTTGCTTTCGTTATTTCGAGTCCACCGGTAGGTTAGCCAGAAAGGAATGGTCAGCTCTGAAGTCTGCTCTGAGAACTCTTATCCTATTCTGTCTTTCATTCTGTTTTTAAAGGGTCTCTCAACTCTATTCCATAGATCCTTTTATCCGATCAACAAACTCGACTTAGGTTTTCTTAATTCTTAATAGAAGTGATGTCAGATGTGACTAAAGCTTTCGATGAAAAGGAAAGGAAGGAATTCTTGAAATCTATCTTCTTCAGTCTAGAATAAGGCAGGCATTAATATTCAAAGGTTGACTCTCCAGCTGTGACATCATCCACAGCTAGATCCTCCTTTAGTTTAGGAAGTCTATCGAAAGGAAGGCGCTATGTGAATTGCCCAGGTTTAGCTGAGGATGGGATTCGCTACCCGATTAGTCTCCCTACGCTATTAGGGACCTTTGGTCTAGGCTTTGACCCAAAAGTCCACTTTGGATTGAGAACGTCCCACTGTGGATTCATAGATTGAATGAACTGCGGAAAGCTCCTCGCTACCCCTATGTCAACAATACTGCGCGTCACCGCATTCGTGAAGTCGGATCGCCAAAGCAGCGGTGATGAAGGCCGACACGATTGACCGGAACTTCTGTCTCACGAGGGATTTAGCAGTTCCGTGGCTGCATATTCAGTCGAGCACATGTGGCTGAGTCGCCCGTACCTGAGCTCGAGAAACTTTCCAACTACTGACCGAGAAAAAGAAGTTCCAGAGGCATCTTCCATTCATATCGATTTGGGTTTTTCCGCACCATATTTGGATCTTCCTCTTCTTCGATCCGGAATTCCCAGCAAATCCCTGACTCCTCGAATACAATGGGATTTCACACCTGGCAAATCTTTGACTCTACCTCCTCTTATTAAGACCTTCGAATGTTCCTGCGAATTATGACCTTCGCCTGGAATGTGAGCAAATATATCATGTTTATTGCTCAACTGTACTTTGGCTATCTTACGTAGAGCTGAATTAGGTTTTTTCGGTGTTCTCGTTGAAACACGCGGGCATACTCCTTCCTTCTGGGGACATTGATCCAAAGCTCGAGTACGGTCCGTGCGCCGTTTTTCTTCTCTACCATGACGAATCAATTGATTTAATGTAGGCATCGCGATTTCCTTTGTCCTTCCCCCCTCTTTTTGCCCTATCACTAGTGGTTACTCCCGATCCGAAGCACCCCTTTTCCATTCATAGAGAGATCCAATCGTCAAAATCAATAAAAAGGCCATCATGGACCAAGATCCAAAAGGATCAATCTTGTTGGGAGGTACTGCCCAAGGAAAGGAAAAGGTGACTTCCGGATCAGGAATAATAAATAAAATAGAAACAAGATAAAATCGTATATCAAAACGACTTCTGGCATCACCGGAAGGATCGAAACCACATTCATAGGCCGACAATTTATCTGGATAGGTCGAACTATTGGAAGAAAATGGAAAAGGAACACCGAGTGGGATCAAAGAAACTAGCGAACTGATCACTAAATAGATCAAAATAGGTGAAAATTCGGACATCACCACAGCACACTTCGTTCTTTCGCTCCTTGCGTAATTCGTTGGTTATTGGCGGCATACCGAAAAAAGAAAAGAAGAATTTTTTCATATCGTATCCCTCTCACGAATTGGATTTGAACCAATAGAAAGCGACTTGCCTTTTCTTTCTTTAGTCGATCGTGAGTGGGTCTGTCGTCCTCCTCATTATAGTCCTCCTAGAATCAATAGCATTTCGTCGGAATACATCCTGTCTTTTCACCTTAGTAGTCCTATGCATAGTTAGTACTATAGCCCCAATCATGGCTACTAATAAAATAAGACTAGGAACCAAAAACCAGACGAAATAGTAGGTATAAAGTAAATTGCCCAATGTTTCCAAATTAGTCCAACTTCGTACCTTTTCGGCATAAACCGTATATCTCAGAGAGGTCGTATTTCTTTGGGTTGGTAGTAATGGAATGCTTTCATTATCTAAAATGAAGAACATTTCCCACCAAAAGATCATCATAATACCACTCACTGGTAACCATAGCTAGCGCAATACTTCTTCGTGAATCTCCGCTATTTGAATATTGAACATCATAACAACGAATAGGAATGAAACGGCTATAGCTCCTATATGAACTACTGGGAAGATCATAGCGAAAAAGTCGAGACCTAAGAAAAGAAGTAAACCGGAAGTATTGCAAAAGACTGGGATGGGAAACAAAACGGAATGTACCGGATTTTTAGCACGTACAACCATCAAACCAGAGACCAAAGCAGGGCTAGACAAAACAGAAAGTATCATAGTCATAGTACGTCGTCCTTCCCTGAAATGGAACTTTCATGCTAGTTCTTGCTCCAGCATGAAAGTCGATCTATTACGACCAGCGCGGTTGTTCGTATTTCATTTTCTTCTTCCAAGACAAACCCCTTCCTTAAAAAGGCACTGAGTTACTTACGGAATCTCAAATCTCTTTCCACTGTCCTAGGGAATTCCTGAAGTGCCTGGCGCCGGATCCGCCTAGCTTGATCCTTGGCGGCGTCTCGAGCTTTCATCGCTTTGAAACGTTCTTTCCTAGCCCCAGTTCCTCCTTGGCTCTTTTATGAGAGCTTCGTTCTCACGAAGGGCGCGCAGGTTCTCTTGACGTAGGCGGTCTAAGCCTTCCTGTGTCTCCGCCAAGACATGAGCGTTTGGATCAGACGGACCGCTTTCGTGGGAACCAGAAGCAGCTAAAAGAACGGAATTGTCCGGCCCGGGCGGAGCCGGTGGTGGACCGAACCCACCATTCGTTCCTCCCAACGTGGGATAGAACTGAGCCACCGCTCTGGTTAGCTCATCCATGAAGAGGAGACAAAGACTAAAAAGAATGACGACCACATAAAAAAAAAGACACTTTGATTGGAAATGTACGTTGTCGAACCATTGGTAATCGAAAAAAAAGAACCGTTGACATCGTATAAATAGAAATCAAAATGGAACTTGAGGATTGGGAGAAAGCTCCATGAAAAAGAAAAAGAGCCTTATTATTATTATTATTCGAATTCTATAGGGGTTTGCGAAAGAATAGAATCTTTTTCGCCACACGCGAGGAAAGGTTTGGAACCCTTGTCACTCCTATAAAGATTCCCGGATGATCCAAAAAAAACCTCTTTTCTTCCTTCTCTTATGAAATTATCGCTTTCACCCCTTTCTCTAAGGTCTGATGATCAAACTTTCTATTTGCATGTGTTAAGCATATAGCCTAACTAGCATGATTGAGCCCTGCAGTGGTAGAACTTCGTGAACCGGGCATTGGAGAAGGATCGGGTTTCCTTGAATAGCAGACTAGTTGGCATATAAATAGCGTAGAAATACACATGTACGTGACCACTTTGTATAGAAGGTAGAAAAGAAAAAAGAATAAATCGATTGAAAATATACAAATGATAAAGATGTTCTATCTGCACTATGAATCAGTCAAGTGGACTTTCCTATTCTTGATCTAATGGTTGCGCTTTGACTTTTAAAGCGGAATTGACTCTTTAGATCTTTGGTAAAATCAAGTCCACCGCGAAGACATTCATAACATGCTCTACCATAGTTTTTAGCGGATAACCCCAATTTAGGTTTAATAGTACATCCCAGCAGAGGACGACCATATTTGTTCAATTTATCTCTCTCAACTTGGATCCCATGAGGCGGACCTTGGAAAGTTTGAATAGTTGCAGGAGGGATTCGCAGATCTTCCAGACGTAGAGCACGCAGGGCTTTGAATCCAAATACATTTCCTACAATGGAAGTAAACATGTTGGTAACAGAACCTTCTTTAAAAAGGTAAGCTACATAACAGATATATTGATCTCTTTCGCCAGGAACGGGCTCGATGTTGTAGCATCGCCCTTTGTAACGATCAAGGCTGCTAAGTCCATCGGTCCACACGCTTGTCCATCTACCAGTGGAAGATTCGTCAGCTACCGCGTCGATCTATCCTCTGATGCCTATTCTGAGTTCTGTGAATCAAGCAAGGCAGGGCAGAGCAGTATCATATATAGAACAAAGATCCCATAGGCCTAGAAAGTATCATATCGAAGCAGGTTCTTAACTCACCAGATGGAGGAACGGAAGAAGTGAAGGCATATCTAAAAAGTCCCACAGCTCTTATTCCGCCCGCATACAAGTTTGCAAAGGCAAAACCCGGCTTTTGAATTAGGATGAGATTCGCTAGCGCTTTCAGGCGAACTTAACGATGAAAGGCTTTCTAGCTCCAGCAAGTTCTTTTTATCTGGCATCCCGTCCTTAGAGTTTACGTTCTTTTGTGGTTAAAAGCAAGTGAAATGCTTCTTCCTTCGGCTTACGAGGGAAAAGCCAACTAAGAAAGAAAGAATGGCTACACCGATTCCTTCCAAGATCAGGCTAACCCGAACCGAATCCACCGGAAAGATTTTCATCCTAAAGCAGCGAACTCTTACTCCCCTTATCTAGAAAGGGATCGGGCAATCGTATGCTATTCCTAAGGGCCGGTTCTTTTAGTCAATCCAGAGTACCACGCCGAGGACAAGGGATTCGGAAGCTAGTAGATCCATCATCTACTCTATAAAAGCTTAAGCAGATGAATCCTGAGTAGAGTCAAATCAATCCTAGGTAAATGTCAACAAGAAAGACCTTGCTTTTAAGTACCAAATAAGGGATTCAATCCTTTGCTTTCATTTCCACTAGCTTTAGGATTAGGCATCATAAAGAAAGGAGCATCGATAGCTTCCAGCTTGAATTCTTGTAGTAACAATACCCACCAGCTCTCTTTCGCATCCTTAGATGCCTTTGTCAGAAGGAAGCGAATAGCGGCGTGATCCGTATATACAAATACTTTTGAGCATACCAGATATTGTCGGAACTTGTCCAGGGCATATACGACAGCCAAGACTCCTTCTCTGTGGTGGCATAGTTTAGCTGAGCACCATCTAGGACACGACTAGCGTAGTATATAACATTAACATGTAGTCGATTGTCCCTTCTTTGCCCAAAGTCCGACGGCATGGTCACTTGCATCGCACATTAACTCAAATGGCTGACTCCAATCAGGTGCAATAATAATAATAATGGGTGCAGATATCAGGGCTTGCTTTAAGATGTTGAAAGCCTTCAAACATTCGTCATTGAAGTCGAAGGGTGCGCCCTTGACCAAGAGGTTGGTAAGGGGTTTTGCAATCTTGGCGAAGTCCTAACTCAATCTCCTATAGAATCCTGCATGTCCTAGGAAACTCCGCACCCCCTTTACATTGGTAGGTCGATTTTCAATTATTTCCATTTTTGCTTTATCTACCTCTATTCCCTTGGCCGACACCTTGTGACCCAGGACAATTCCGTCTGTCACCATGAAATGGCACTTTTCCCAATGTTGCACGAGGTTAGCGCAGCCTTTGAGGACTCGGGAAAGGTTGTGCAGACAGTCGTCATAGGTCATACCAAAGTCATCCATGAAGACTTTAATGATGTCCTCTACCATGTCTGAGAAGATTGCCATCACCTCTGGAAGGTGGCAGGTGCATTGCACAGACCGAAGGGAATTCGCCTGTATGCGAAAGTCCCATAAGGGCAAGTGAATGTAGTCTTTTCCTGGTCTTCCGGTGCCATGGGTATTTTCAAATAGCCTTCGTATCCATCCAAGAAGCAGTAGTACTCATGTCCTGCTAGCCTTTCCAACATCTGGTCTACGAATGGGAGAGGGAAATGATCTTTCCGAGTTGCTTCATTTAGCTTTCGGTAGTCAATACACACTCTCCACCCCGTGACGGTTCGTCTTGGAATTTTCTCGTCTTTATCATTCTTCACCCTCATATAGATATAGTCGTCGGCCTTCCGGAGCTTTAGAATGCCTCTTTTCTCTTCTTTTACGGGCAATATTTTTTTTCCTTCAAGTTTAGTGAAAAACTCTCCTCGACGAATTTGTAGAGATGCTGGCGTGCCTCCTGCCAATGGGAATAACTTAGATAACGACAATCCCTTTCTTAGTGATGGAACACAAGTATCAGTGCCCCCCCTCGATGCCTTTCTGTTACTACGCTAGTAGGCCACCACCCAAACGCTATAGGGTCAAAGTCGAAGACGCATGGCTTCACGGCTTTGACAAGGAGTTTGTTCGGTGAGATTTATTGGTATTGCCAATCCACTTCGGGCAGGGGAAATCCGCGAAGAAGCTACCCTATCAGGACAACAAGCAGTCAGTGAGTGAGCGCACTGCTTTGTCCCAGGAAAAATCTGACTTCTTTCCGATACCGCTCTATAATCGATGCATCGGCGCCTTTCGAACCTTTTCTCATTAGATCGGCTGGTCAAGCGCCACATGGAATATAGAAATTCAGGTTCCTAGGAATGTCGTAGGAGTCATTCATCTAGTCCCAAGGGGGCTTCCCGACTCAAGCTACTGGGAAATAGGACCCCAATTCCTACTCACTGAGTGTAAACGACTCTCTTCGGCTTCTTTTCTTTTCTATCTATTAATAATGCTCCGCCCGCCCCTTTCAATAGGAAGGGACCTTTAAACTATTAAATGCTAACTCAGGCCGAATGATCAATATCAAAACAAGCGGCTCACGACGTAGTAGAATGAGATTCTCGCTTCCTTTGGCTGTTCATCTGAATCATATAACAAGAAGTTGGGGTAGCATTTTGATACCCTCGGGCTACAGTTTGCCACTACAAAGCCCGCTGGTGGAAAAGAGAAATATCTTCACTTGATATCACTACAAAGCCCGTTAGGGTAAGCCGAGTCATTTGCTTGACCTTCACTCCTTTCCCTCGTTAGGGATTTCAGCTTTGTGTAGCATTGGAGCTTAAACCCTGACTTCGCCTACTTCCTCATCAAAGGCTAGTTACCGCCCCTTCAACCAGACTTTGATCGATTCCCCGACATCGAAGCGGGGGTAAGACTCCTAATTCTAACTGCTATTCATTGATTTGATTTGATAAAGTAATACTTACCTCAGGCCTTTCCACTACGCGCATCTGAAAAA